CTAAAACACAATTTGGATGGTCACTTCACAAATTCTGGCTAAAAGCCAGCCTGTAGAGGGATGCAAATTCAAATCAATTGCTCCCTTCATTATTTATAATTTAACATTAAATTTGGTCATACATTAAAAAAAAGTGATTTATTATTTACACAATATTCATGTTATTTTCTCTACTGAAAAAAACAAAAAATGTTTTTGTTGTAAGACAACTGCTAACAGCTTTTTCTGCCACTAAGATATTGTTCCATTTGTTCTTATTGTTATATAGGGTGGGAACAATGCTGGTCACACAGTGGTTGTTGACTCAGAGAAATATTTCTTTCACATGGTTCCAAGGTAAGAAGTAACAGTAGATTGTTTTGATATCTCACAAATCTATCAAATGATTCTTTTCCCTCTCAGGTCCAAGATAATTAGCCAATACAGGAATGAATTTTTATTGTGAGGCAAGACTGTCACATGTCCTATGGTTTGTGGGGGGCAGTGGTGGTGGGGGGGTGGGGCACATTCCTCAGGGGAATAAAACTAAAGAAATCAGAATGATTAGTAATCAATAAAATCTTGTGACTACACAAACCAAACCGAATCTAAAATAAGAAATGAAAACAATTTGTTCAAGAAACACATGGCGTCTTTCAGGATTTCAGTTTATTAATTTGGGTGCAGTGCGAGGAGCATCTGAAGCATCAGACTTGATTATTTCTGAAGTGTGCTATAACAGAAAAAGTCAGTTATGATGAGTTAAAAATATAAAGCAATGCTGGAAAATTGTGATAGATGTGCAGCATAATTATATAATTGCAATCAATGAGTAATCAGTGGGTAATCAATTGGTAATTGATAAGTTATAATTCAATAATTGATTGATCAATGAATAATCAATGAATAATCAATAGACCACAAAATGTTTGTCCTGATGTCTATGTTTGATCAGGAAATCCTTTTCATCCAGCATCTATACATACAGATTCATATTGTTATTTTGAAGGGATTGAAATGATATCGATCATTCCGATTTTTAAAAGATTTTAATTTCTTAATAGTTTTCAGCCCTAATGAAACATCATCCCAATGTTTCTCTTTGTTCTTTTGGTTTTAGTGGACTGATACAACCGAAGGCTGTTAGCATTATTGGTAAGTGTTTATACACAATCACTGCGTAGATTCATTATGAAGAATTTGTTGAGATTATACTGCAGTGTAGAACAATCTCTTATTTGTTATCTTTAGCGGCACCTTTTATACCGTTATTTCATCTTAAATTCAACAGGAAATGGTGTAGTGATTCATATTCCGCAGTTCTTTGAGGAGTTAGAGGCACTTGAAGCTAAAGGTGATTATGCCTTCAAACTTTCCTCTCTGCTTGTTCCATATTTAATGAAAATGAAAGAACCTGAAATATTAATTAAAAAACAATCATGTTCTAAACAATGATTGCAAGTAGGTTTCAGTGTTTTTTTTCCATTTAAATTAACACCACAATGTCTGTTGCAAAGCAATCATTCATTTTGATTTGGCTATGTCGTAGAGCAAGTATGTTTAATAAGTTACATGTATAAAATAAATTCTAATTAAAATATGTTTGACTTCAGTCCATGTTTGTTAAAGTTATGGTTTGAAAATGAGAATTATCAATTCTAGTGTTTGCTTTCCTTTCTGAGCACAGAACTTTGTGCTGTGTTTTAGAACATGACTAAAGAATATTAAATAATATACAAAATATATCAGAAAAATGTCATCAGTGGATTATAGATGCAATATGAGTCCATTAAAAAGACAACACACAAACTATTTTTAATATTCTTTTTTGTTTTATTTTTATTTTTCTGTGATAATCAATTGAGCATTTTCCATAATAGATTAAAAACATCCCATTGCTTAAGGTTTTTAGATCAAATTATGAACGGTAATAATCAATGTTTGGCACACCACTACCATTAAATATGATGCTAAATAAATGTACGTTGATGCCATATTTTAAAACTGGAAACATAATGAATGTACTTGTTTGCAGGGGTCACAGATTGGCAGAAAAGACTTCTAGTCTCTGATAGAGCTCACATAGGTGAGATATGGATTTGTATGAAATAAAAACATTTTGACTTACAGTGGCACTATCTAACTAATGCAGTTCATGGATTCTATCCTTTCAGTATTTGATTTACACCAAGAATCTGACAAATTACGAGAGGGTGGAAAAGGAGGGTGAGTTGATGGTAATACTGCAGGGCTGTCATTAAGGGCGGTTGTCTGTAACACCTGTCACAACTGAGTCTGCTTAAGTTTCCCTTGATGCGAAAAATTGCCTGTTGTTAATTGGTAGTCAGAATTCACCCGTAAAGTAACAAGTTTGCTACAGGTATGGAGAACAAGGCTACCGGTGACTCAAAACTTAATGACAGCCCTTTACTGTAAAATTTTTTTTTTTTTTCACAGTGGACTCAAGTTGATAGTTCAGTGGTTTAATTTGTGGTAACAGTTGATTGATTAAACTGCAAGGTAAACGTTACAAACACTGCTAGGTGGGAATGGCTTCATTTTGTGTGGAAAAAGGCAGGTTTTCCCTCATGGAGGAAATCCACAAATCAACTGGAAAAATCACTGTTTCCTGGTGACTGCTTGCAATATTTTTATCAATGATTTCCTGGAAGATTATTAGTCAAGAGTGATCAGTCTTGTTTTAACTACAACCTACAATTTCATAATGTGATGTGACATGCATTTACCCAACACTTCCTGTCTGTCTAAGAATGTCTGACATTTTTCCTGTCAATGCAATCAGTGAACTATTACTAACAACAAATACAACAACTTGAAGCATTGAATGCTACAACTGGATCCACTGTACATATTAGCCAGTCAGTTGGACAGACAGTCAGTCAGTTAGACAGTCAGTCAGTCAGACAGACAGACAGACAGACAGACAGTTGGTCAGTCAGAGTCAGGCAGACAGACAGACAGACAGACATTCAGATAGTTGGTCAGACAGTCAGTAGGTAAGTCAAAAGTTATTATTTTTTTTTTTTTCTTTGCACGTTTTTAAGGTTGGGGACCACAAAGAAGGGAATTGGACCTACCTATGCTTCCAAGGTATTGTTTATATTAGTTAATTTATTCTGGGAAATGGTCTGTTTTCTTTTAATTGCTTATTTCTAACCCTAACCCTAACCCGTTGGTTTAATATACATGTATAATGCATTGATATTAGAAATATTAAACAACTATCGAGTAGGGTGCAAATGTTATTTTCAAGCCTACCCCTTGGGCAAGCTGTAACAGTGATG